ACATGTAATTTTTTTTATTTTTTTCTTTAATGATATGTAAAAAATTTAATTAAAAAAGTGCAATAAATATATTGTAATCCAATGATAATTAATAATGAAAATTCAACATACTTTCTTTTGTTATGCCATAAAATTTTAATATATTACTGTGATGTTCTACTTTACAATGTTGTTTTGCCTTTAAAGAGTCATTTGTAAATTTTTGTTAATATATATATAATAAATTTGTTAGATAAAAAAAAATTTACCTCATTAAGAAGCTGTTCAAAAGTATATGTCTGGTCAATACCAATAGATTTTAATGCCACAAGTCCTTGATGATGTTTTGAAGATGCACGAGAAATTGTTCCAAATGATCCACTATCAATAATTTTAATATTTTGAAAAGAATTATAATCAAGAAATAAAATATGTTCCCTTTTAAGTTGATTTTTAAATTTTTTTTCCTCTTCTGAAATTGATCCTATGTTTATTTTTAATAGTAATTTTAATGATTTTAATGGTGATTTGAAGTTTATTGTCCTTTTTGTTTTTTTTTCTCTACTTTGTCTTATCATTTGAACTACTGTGTAAAATGGACTTTCTACATTTACAAATGTCTTTGCTGAACTTTCAAAAAATTCACAGCCAAGTCTCTTTGCCATATTTATTCCTTCTTCCCTTGACACCTCCCGTTCTGTGTGCTTGTCACATTTATTTCCTATAAGTATAAGTGGAATTTTATTAGAGCCTTTTACTCTTATTATTTGATCTTTAAACTTTTCTACTTGTTCAAACGTTGAACGTGATGATATGGAATATACTAAAAGGAATCCTTCTCCATCTCTATATATTTATTAGAATTATATGTATAAGTGTTTAATTCTAACAATTATCATTAGAAACTTTAAATTTCTTTCTATATACCTGATCAATTGATCCCAAAGTGGTGTGTATTCCCCTTTTTATTTAGAAAAGAAAATTATGATTATAAATAAATGTTTTATTGTTCTTAGTTTCATTATAAACAAGCAACAAAGTATCACCTTGTCCTGCAGTCTCCAACACATCTATCACATAGGGTTGATCATCAGTCACTGTTTGTTTTTTATATGAAGCTACAATTGTTGGGTCATAGGTCTAAAAAATACAATGAAATATTGAATAGAGAGGTAAAGGTGTTTAAACAAAAATAATATTTAAAAATATTTTACCACTGTATTCGAAATCAAATAAAGATAATAATTATTTTAGTTTTAATGTATAGATAGAATTCATGATAAAAAGAAAAAATTTATACAATTTGAAAAATACATACCAACAAAATGATTTAAACACAACTAAACCAAGTTTAAAAGTCAATAAAAAATAGTAGCAAGAAATAAGTATCATTTAAAAATTCACCAACAATATACCATAGCTTAATGTAATTGTATACCTGAATTGTGAGAGCAGTCTAATCAAATAAAAAATAAACAAATTTATTATTTTAGATAGAAACGATGTTTTTTTAAAAAAATTCAACTTTTGTTACCTTTCCAACATTAATATCTCCTAGAATAACAAGCTTATATGACATCTTCTTCAGCTTAGCAAGAAAAAACAGGTAAATTAGTCCATGAGAAATCAATGTTAAATAGCATAGACGCTTTATATTACATACTACAAGAAGGAAAGGGCATACCTTTTTCTTTAATGGGGAAGAGAAGGGTGATAAAATAATAAAAACGGACAAAGTATTAATACGGGCGCAGAAACGCGTTTCTTATTTTCTAATTAATTTTTTCTTAAAAAGTAAATTTGAATATTTGAATTGCAAATATTAATAATTTAATACATAATATAATAATAAACAAAAAACGTTGGCCAATCACATGTTGGACATGTGATCTAGCCCTTTCATTTATTCCTTTTATATATATTTATTTATTCCATATGATATTTATTAATAATTTTATTTAAATTAATGGAACAAGGATGAATAATTAAATTCGTTGTTATTTGCACCATATTTGCCGAAGCCTTCTAGGCACAATAACAAGAAAGAAGCAGCAACCAGGATAATTGTAAATAAATTCGTAATTGTATATAAAAGCTTGCAATTAATCGACGAGTGTAGCTAAAAAGTTAACTCAAACTCGGCCATAAAACGTAAAATAATCGACATTGACCAAAAACCTACATTTGCAATATGTAATTCACGTCAAAATACTGTTGAGTTAGTAAACAAGTCCTAAAAGACCGGACCAGCCCACACAACCCTACATATTAATATTAATATGAATATGACAAATCGTCTGATTGTACAAACTTGGATGCATCATAATATCATAAATACTCTTTTTGTTTTCTTGTGCTTTTTCAAAATTAAAATTTTGAATTTCTTATTTCTCAAATTGTTTTTTATTAACTTTGTTTGAGAAAATATTCTTCCTGCATGAGCATTGGAAAAAGGTACAAGAAGTGTTATTCCAACAATTAGTATTATGGCTGGATAATTAAAAGAGAAATTTTTATCAGCATAAAAAATGTATTTCCACAGTTGAATAAAATCTATTTCTCTATTATTATTTTTATAGAACTAGAGATAAAATTTTACTGAATCCCATTCTTCTTTAAGTTTTTCTTTATCAATGATTCCACTAAACTCATTTTCATTTACAACCTTAATTCCTTCGTAAAATTACCTAAAAATTCTATCTCTTGCTTTTTGTACAAATATATAATTCTGGTTCTGGAAATCTATTTTTAATGGCATTACAACTTGCAAGTTTAAGCATAGCCAAAGGTTCGTGAATGTTGAAGCAATCTTGAAAAGAGATGTGGTTTGTTTGGTGGTTGGGGAAGTTGGAAGCTATCAGGATAAATTGATTTTCTTGTGTGGTGTATTAAGTGGAATAGCAAAAAAAGCATGATGCAAAAATAATTGTTAATGAGAAGTAATATGAAAGGTTTGGGACATTAATCAATAGTCAATGGATTCGAAGGTTCTTCTGCTGTAAGTAAGAATAAAAGATTTGATACAAATGAAAAGTATTTTTTTTAAATTAATAGTTGATATGATAAAAATGTTTTCTTATCTTCAAATAGATAAACAAAACAAAAATAAATATTTTCGTTTGCTATTGCTCTTTAAACATTTATTTTGGTTGTGAAACAGAGAAATTTTTTTTTTAATCGTACGCGGCGGCGACTTCCAATAAGAAAAATAATTTATAATTCGAAAGCTGAAATTTAGGATCGGTCTTTTAAAGATAACTTTTATCCTGTCACGAGTATCGTATTTTATTTTTGAGCAAATGTATTCTAAATAATGCAGATGGACGACCCATGTCGACTAAGTGACTATCTATGCCACGAATTTTGCATTAAAACTCCAGATATAAAAATGAATATTAAGATAACAATTTTTTTTTTATCATTTAATTAATTAATTTGGCCAGTTAAGCTATTTAAAAATTCGCACATGTCACTAGAAATTTGATATTTTTAAATGTAATTAAATTTTTAAAGTTTAATTAAATATTAATATCTATATGCCAATTGCCAATTGTCATTATTATGAATGCTCGAAAGTATTACAAATACATGCATAATTACGAATGCTCGAAAGTATTACGAATACTCGCATTATTACGATTATTACGAATCGACAGAATTATAAAAATAATAAATCAATAAATCGATAATGATACATCTATAATAAATCTATGTGTGTAATACATCTATCTTTATACTAAAATAATATACAATTCATATACCATGTATTTTGTTGTTAAATGATTGTTTAAACTATCAGTTTATGCTGATAATGGAAGTTCTAATAAATCATCATTTTGTGATTCATCCTCAATAATGTTCGTTATATTTGCCTTGTTGTCCAAATCTCTTAAATTGTTTTCTAAACTATTAATTTGTGCTGAGAATGAAAGTTCCATTGAATATAATGAACCGTCATTTTGTAATTCATTACTAGTTTGATTTGTTACAATATTAATATCTTCAATAGTATCAGTTATATCTACATTGTTCAAATCCTCTGTAACTTGATGAATATGAGGACGGAGGGCTGGGTTTCCTTGCCAACATGCTTTATAAAAATAAATTTAATATCGGGTATAAATTATTAATGGTATTGTTATTATGTAACCACCAATAAATCTTTCTCATTATTACCTGTATATATTTCTGCATATTTTCTTGGAGTTCCTTTGATTATTGCTTCACGTTCACCTAATA